TAGACACCCCAACCAGGGATGGGATCAGCCACAACCGGTACGTGCCCTGACTGGAATCGAACCCGGGACCCTTCAGTCCAGAGGCCCGATGCTCTATCCATGGAGCACACCAGCCAGGGTCCTGTGTAGTGCTTTGTGGAGAGAGCAGGAAGGGTGGTAATTATGACCTCCTAGAATGAGCTTCTCCTCTCCTCTAAATCCCCTGGTTTTGTTCTTGCTTCTTGCGCAGGGAGCCTTCTGGGGTCTCATCGTCGGACTGCTGATCGGCCTATTTCGTATGATTGCAGAGTTTGCCTACGGAACAGGGACCTGCTTGGCTGCCAGTAACTGTCCCAAAATCATCTGTGGCGTGCACTACCTGTACTTCGCCATGATTCTCTTTGTCATTTCCATCGTGGTCATCCTGGGAGTTTCCCTGCTAACAAAACCCATTCCTGATGTGCATGTGAGTGAGGAGTCACAGCTATATGCTCCTTTTATTCTTTTAAATATATTTTTATTGATTTCTGAGAGGAAGAGAAGGAGAGAGAGAGAGAGAGAGAGAGAAACATCAATGATGAGAGAGAATCACTGATCGGCTGCCTCCTGCACACCCCACACTGGGGATGGAGCCCACAACCTGGGCATGTGCCTTGACCGAGAATCGAACCCTGACCTTCTGGTTCATAGCTCGATGCTCAACCACTGAGCCACGCCGGCCGGGCCAGAAATAATGTAAAATAGTGTGCTTTGGTGAATGAGTGTGGTAGAAGCCCTCTTCTTTGTTGGTATGTCTTCCCACGCTGTGGGATTTTTTGGGATTTTTTGCACTGTACAGTAAATGTGCTGTTATGTTATTGTAAACACTTGTTCATCACTCATGGGCCTGTCTGTGCTCTCTGGGCAGCTGTATCGCCTGTGCTGGGCTCTTCGGAACCGGACAGAGGAGCGAATCGATTTAGACGCAGAAGAGCAGAGACAGGAAGAAGCTGATGATGATGCTGATGAAGGTAATGTCTGGTTTGCCTTTGGTTTGAGAACTCTCTCTCTTGCTTTGAACTGTTGATTCATCGCTCTAGCGTGTTTACATGGAGTTGTTTGTAGGATGTTCTCTATTTCAAGAAACTCATTACTACAAGGATATCACACCCTGTGTGATATAAGATGCAAATGTTTTCCCCAGCTTGGCACTTGTTTGACTTTGTTTATTGGGCTCTATGCTATGCAAAAGTTTTCTATTTTTCTTTTAATATATTTTTATTGATTTCAAAGAGGAAGGGAGTGGGAGAGAGAGAAACATCAATGATGAGAGAGGATCATTGATCAGCTGCCTCCTGCACGCCCCCTGCTGGGGATCGAGCCTGCAACCTGGGCATGTGCCCTGACCGAGAATTGAACCGTGACCTCCAGGTTCACAGGTAAACACTCAGCCACTGAGTCACCCTGGCTGGGCTCCATTTTTCTATAACTGGAGTTATCTGTGTTTTCGCAGGGATATTCCTCTAAGGCACAGAAGTAGTTGTCGTCATTCTTTGCCGTCATCCGCACGACCTTGACGGGAGTCGGATTTCTCGAGCTTTGTGATCATTTGTTTATCTTTCTTTGGTTCAGATGATCCCGGGGAAACGCCGGGGTGTTTCAGGAGAGCGTACGAGGCGTTCTGCGGTTTGCAGAGGAAAGGCCCCAAGCTGAGCAAAGAGGAGGAAGAAGCCCTGAGGAGGAAGCTGACAGACACGTCCGAGAAGCCCCTCTGGAGGACGGTGGTGAACGTCAACGCCATCCTGCTGCTGGCCGTGGCCGTCTTTGCTCACGGCTATTTCGCCTGAACCCCACCGGGGCCACTAGAAGATGTATGAAGCAGAGGACAGCATTGATCTTTCACCTGTAGAGTTTGTTGCGATGCAAAAGGGAGCTATGCAGTTGCTAATTTTACCCAATAACTCGAGGCATGACTTTTAGCGTTTGCTGTTCCTTTGTGTCAGTGGAGAAAGAGCTGATCCTTTAGAAAGCCAGTGAGCTGACTCCCTATGTGTGTGTGTAAACTAGGAGAGTTTGGGAATAAATTATTTTTGTATGGAGCTCATCAGATAGATTGCCCTGCATCAAACTTGCTTCCTGCTCTTTCCAGAGATTTCCACGTAGAAGGACTACCTCCCCCTACTCTGCCTCGCCTAGGACCCCCTCATCGGAAAAACAGCGACATCGTCCTCCCGAATTCACCTCGCTGATCTCAGGGGCTTGAAAAATAGGAATGGTTCCAAGTAGTTGAGGGGAAGAGAGCTGG